GGGACTGACTACCGCGAACGATTAACAGGTGAGGTAATGTTTTGGTTTGCTTGCAGGAGGAGAGCATTCCCATCGCCCTGTCTGGACGGGACATTCTGGCTCGGGCTAAGAACGGAACTGGGAAAAGTGGAGCGTATCTCATCCCGCTGCTGGAGAGAATAGACCTGAAGAAAGACCACATACAGGGTGAGACGCCGCCTGTAGTTTCATAGTTACCTTTTCTAACGAGCCTCTCTCATCCACCAACCTTCACCACCGTCTCTCGTCCACTTAAATGTTCCTCTGTGAAAACTTTTCCCATCTTTTCCCATCTTCCATGTTCCAGCACTTGTCATGGTGCCCACCCGTGAGCTGGCGCTGCAGGTGAGCCAGATCTCCATCCAGATCAGCAAACACCTGGGCGGCGTTAAAGTCATGGCCACCACCGGGGGCACCAACCTGCGAGATGACATCATGCGCCTGGATGAGACCGGTAAGAAACCGCGGTGAACCTCACTGACCTGCGTGTGGCTAACAAACAAACACCTTATCAGAAGTGAGTCCAGTCTGCATGTGTTGGCTTGGTTTTTGTGCATTTTAATGAGGTAAATAACACAAATAAAGGGATATGTTTAAATGTTTTTTCAACTTTTTGCCCATTTGTAATTCTCTCCTGTTTTCCACATCAGTGCATGTGGTCATTGCCACCCCTGGTAGGATCCTGGACTTGATAAAGAAGGGCGTGGCAAAGGTGGATAGAGTCCAGATGATGGTGATGGATGAGGTAAACACGAATAAAACCAATAAAAATACTCTCTGCTAAAACTAACTTCATGTTCGTCAAAATTCCTTCCATACTGGTTCGCTGCTTCGGGTTAAATCTCTTGTTTCCTCTCAGGCGGATAAGCTGCTGTCTCAGGATTTCGTGGTGCTCATCGAGGATATCATCAGCTTCCTGGCAAAGAACAGGCAGATCCTGCTCTACTCTGCAACCTTCCCCATCAGCGTGCAGAAGTTCATGGTGAGCGGTCGGCTAATTGCCGCACCACCCCGATGGCTCAGGGCCACTTGGCACCAAATGACTCGCACTGCAGACCAAGCTGTTCTCACACTGCGCCCAGATCTGTGTTTGTGTTAGTCTGTTGTACACTTCACCAGGGCTGCCTCCGTCTGAAGCAGTTCAGCTCAGGGTTTGATTGTTTAGATGGTTTGTAAAAGTCTTCTGCAGTGTTATAACACAAACTACATTTGTTAATCCTTCTGATTTCTTTAAGCTCGTATTAACCTCCTACATTAGTTAGTTAAGGGACGTCCTACATTCCTGTACGTGAAAACTCTGCTGTTCACACACTTTAACCTTCTTACTGTGTCCTTGCTGCAGGCGAAGCACCTTCAGAAACCCTATGAGATAAACCTGATGGAGGAACTGACTCTGAAGGGCATCACTCAGTACTACGCCTACGTCACCGAGAGGCAGAAAGTCCACTGCCTCAACACGCTGTTCTCCAGGGTAACTGACCAACTCCGCGTTCACACGTCTGTGCATTTTAAACTGCCACAAAGGCACTTTTCACAACGCGTGTATGATTCTGTGTCATAAACACAAATAAAATACTTTAGCATTTCTTTATAGTAGTTAAAGAAAATCTAGCTGCATCTCTGGGTGGAATTTATTAAACCTAGAACTTCTCTAACATCCGGCTCCGATTCGTCCTTCAGCAGCATGTTGGACAGTTTAGGATCAGACCACAGGCTCACGTTCCCTCTCTTCTCTCTCCCTCCGTCACAGCTTCAGATCAACCAGTCGATTATCTTCTGTAACTCCACTCAGAGGGTGGAGCTGTTGGCCAAGAAGATCACTCAGCTGGGCTACTCCTGCTTCTACATCCATGCCAAGATGATGCAGGTGAGAGAAATGTTGCCATATGCCTTTTTAAATGTCTTTAAAATAAATATGTAGTCACTGTTTTTCAGCATGAATATTTTAAATATGATTAGAGCAAAGTAGAATTAGTTATTCTGCCCGGTTCGATTCCAGCTGAGGACATTTGTTTCGTGTCATATCATCCTCTTGTTTTCCTTTCTAGAAGATGTAATGCCTAAAAACATATAAACATGTATTTATAGCCTTCACAAATTATATAAATATGTACATTCCTTTTAATAAATGACGCCAATATAAACTACAAATAATAAATAAAAACAGTCACAAAACATCAACTTAAATTGTTTTGGATCATAACATTAAAAATGTTTACTAAAGAAAAATAACCAGTAAATCTTTAAGGCTGCTTTGAGTGTTATTAATGTTTCTTCTTAGTTTTCTCGTCTGTAACTTTTTTATGTGTTTGTTTGTTTTCAGGAATATAGAAACCGCGTGTTCCACGATTTCAGAAATGGGCTGTGCAGGAACCTGGTCTGCACTGGTGAGTTTCTGTTCGCTCTCACGTTTCCAAACAGAAAGCCTAAAAAAAAATCTAATTTTCTGTTGTCTTCCAATAGATCTCTTCACCAGAGGTATCGACATCCAGGCCGTCAACGTCGTCATCAACTTCGACTTCCCTAAGAATGCTGAGACTTACCTCCATCGTATTGGAAGATCAGGTACGCCGTGTTCTCCTTAATGAATGTGACCTGCGGTGGTGTTTTTAACCTTGACCGTCTCGTTAGTGGAAACAACATAAGGCTGCTCAGTTAATCAAATTTTAACATGATTACGATTTTGGGTGCAAACGATCTTAAAACTAATAAAATCGGGGGAAAAGATTATTTTTTCATTTCTGTTGTGCGCGTTGTTTAGAAAAAAGGCTGTGTCCAATTCAGGGATTTAAACCTTATTTATAACTTGTGGTCCGACACTCGCTGCAGTCTTCTCCTTCACGTTGTTTTCATTTGAACAGGTAACGAGGAGACTTACAAATGTTTACGGGAAGGAAGTGTAACTGAGGACTTCTCCAAAGTGTTTCTTGAACAAATGTCCAATAAATGCAGGCATGTTTTCTAAAAAAATTACAGTTTATAAAAAATAATCGTGATTTAAATTTGACACAAATAATCGTGATTAAATGATTTTTCCATAATCGAGCAGCTCTAAAACAACATGAACAGAAGATTTTGGAGCTTCTTTTAATACAAGTTGTTCAGATTGATGAATAAAGCAATGTTTATGTTGTTCTCGTTCTTCCTGTGAGATTACACAGCTCCGTCTGCTGGTTGCAGGACGCAGTACATGAATTAACCTTGATTCTACAATAATCAACGACAAACACTTCGAGTAAATAGAATAAATAAATGTGGCGCGTAGATGAAGTTTGTGTATTAAACGTATTCTCTCGCTCTCAGGGAGGTTTGGTCACCTGGGCTTGGCCATCAACCTGATCACATCAGAGGACAGATTCAACCTGAAGGCCATCGAAGACCAGCTGGTGACCGACATCAAGCCCATTCCAGGCAGCATCGACAAGAGCCTGTACGTGGCCGAGTACCACTCGTCTGGCGCCGACTGTGACGTGGAGGAGGTTGAGGAGAAACCGGGACACCACCAGGACAGCACCTAAAACAGGTGAGATACTTTTTAAGACTTTGATTGCAAGGAAAAAAGTAAAACCTGTCGTCCTAATCTGAGCTCTGTCTTCCCTCCAGGACGGCAGGACACACCGGGCTTTTGCACAGACATCAGCGCTTGCGCACAGGCTTCAGGCAACTCTTCACTTTCACATTTCTCACTCGTTTTCAGAGCCTGTCGAATGGATGTAAAGGCTGTTTTTATTTTTGTTTTGTTTTTGCCTTTCCTTTGCTTTTTCCTCAAAGAGAGCTGCCTCATTCTTTTGTTTTAATTAACTGAGAAAGTTGAACTATATTGTTTTGCACCAAACTCAGAGCGGGCCATGCATCCTGCGTATGAGCTTAGCGTATTTGTTTCCTAAAATTTATCTCGGTTAGACAGCACTGCAAAGGAGAATCGAAGCTGTTTTGAACCTGTCGTCCTAGGAGGCTGTTTTCATTGCCAGCAGCGAGGTTGGTCTGTTTTTAATGTTACAATGGTGCACTTACACCAGCCATCGTTCTGTCCACTTACACTGTTGTTGTCACTTAAGTGCCTTACTTACTCCCATGTGCACTCATCCATTCATAGCCTGCTGTCTTCTGTCATGCAGCAGAGTACGAGCACAAACGATATGAATTTAATAGCAACCCCAGTTTATTTAAACATCCATTATGCAAGGGAAAACGACAACACACACACACACACACACACGCTTTCTCCTGCTGAGAGATGTGTTGGAACACGGCTCAAACTCTTTAAAAACCATCCTGAATGTGAACGTTTATTTTAAATGTGAACGTTGCAATAAAAAAAAAAGAAAAAAGGGCAGCTTTATTTAAATACTGCGTGACTGTTTCTCCCTTTTCACTATGGATAACACACAGAGTTAATACGAGAAGACGGCTAAAGACACAAGCCCCCATACGGATTCATGGATGTTTGCCTGCGACCACACAAACGGCATGGGAAACGAGAAGCAGCCTCACGCTCTTACATTACGGCTGTTCTTTTACATTAAAATAAAATGATATTGGGCTGGTGAATACTATAAACCCATGGATCACTGCAGCTGGTGGATGAAACGCTGGTTTTTTTTCAGGACTAATGCATCAGAGACCGGTTCAGAACAGTTTAGATTTTGCCGTTCCTAAGCTGAAACGCAATTCAGGTCCGAAGAGTAAAATGTTTTTTGTTTTTTTTATGGAAGTTGGTGCAAAACAATAGTTTAAATCTCTTTTTTTTATTTAATTATTTCCCCAAACTGCATCAGATTGAGTTACATTGTGGAAATATGAGATCCTGAGGTTATACTTTTTAAAATCTTCCCCCGTCATGACAAGAATTGAAGTTGGTGAATGTACTCTCTCTATAGCCCAGTGGTTGAAAGCCCAGCTCTTGACAGCTGTCACTTGTATTGCTGCTGTTGCATTAGAAACTTCTCTTCAGGCTTTTCTCTTATGAAATGGATCCACGGGACAGCAGTGTGACGCAACCTGCTCACGGGATCACACTGACCCTCGATTGAACTACGACTAAAAATGAGGAACAACAGAAAGTCAGGGTTTCTTTGTGCAGCAGCAGCGGTACCATTTTATTTTTGTTTGTTTTTCCCCCGGCACAGCTATGTTTTATGAATCTAAAAAAAAGAAATGTGAGGATTATCTCTGGTGAGGGGTGGGCTCTGTGTTTTGAAAGCGACATTGTAGCATCTTTGAACAGGCAGCTGTGACTTCTTTGTTTTTGTCCTCCCCTTATAAGAGCGTCGGTAATGCTATTTTTGCTTTTTAAGATTTATTTTTGATGTTGCTTAAAGCAGTGTGAAGGGGGGGGGGGGGAGGACTGTAAGGCTTTAGCACTGGGTAACTTCTGGTTTATTTTGGGTGGGTTTGCAGAAGCCAAGTGTTTTATCGGATGCTCTCTGGGCATCTTGAATCTTTCCTTCTCTCTGGTACTTAAAGCAAAGACAAAAGCTTTGATTTAAAGTTTGTTTTCCCCTCAAAAAGTACACAAAATACCTGGTTTGCTTCGTGGTTTTAAGTGCCAGAGAGAGCGTTAAGTTATACAGGAGAGAGTTTCTGGAAAGCGTTGAAGCACTGTGATCTTCTTGAACCTGTTCCATGTTTGTGTGACGGATGATCAAAGTGCTACGATTAGTTTTCAGCAACTCGATCCATTTTCCACTAGGGCAATCTTCAATACGAGGTGTTATGAATCATTTTTGAGGAAACAAGAATTGTAAATGATTCATTGTTTACACTAGTCGTTTACAATTATACAAAAAAAAAAGAAAATACTTTGCTTCATGGTCGGTGGAAGAGGTCGATTTTTATTTTATTTCCATTTTTTTTTTTTCCTTGAAATAGATTTTCAGGATTTACATTGAAGCAAAACCAAAAAAGGAGAATGTCGTGAGTGTATGAGAGAGAGATGTTAAGGTGGGTGTTTGAGTGAGAAGTGTGTGAGTGTGTGAGACATACAGGCGACTGTTTCAACAAAGGTGTGTGTGTGTGTGTGTGTGTGTGTGTGTGTGTGTGTGTGTGTGGGAACCATTCATGTATTGTGTGTGTTGTGTGTGTGTGGTGTGGTGAGAAAAGGACATGAGTGTATGTTTGAAGCTGCTAGCTGCGTTGATTTGTTAACAATCATTAACGTTTACATGCAGCTTCCAACTAAACGGCCGTCTTTGTGTCTGGATTAACGGAGGAAATCAGACATCACACCGGTAACCCGGGAGCTAACATTGGGTTCAGGTGGTGATGATGGGTATTTGGACTAAGAATAAAACTGACTGTTTTAGTTTGAGTCTGCACGTAACGTAATCATGTATCCTCTTTTTTTTTTTTTATTGTTGTATGTGTGGCTCTTGTGTTTTTCTGTTGCGGTGTAAATGTCTTAATAATCGAGTATGTGATGTTACATCGTCCAGGATGTGATTGTTTTTTGGTTTTTTTTGCTCCTTCGTCTCCCGTATTCCTCCAGGAGTTCAGTTTCATAATGCGATTTTTTCTTTTCAGTTGTTTTTTGTTTATCGCGATCACATTCCCTGACAGTCATTCATCATCCCTCTGTGATCACAACACATTTTGGGCTGTGTTGTTCACGTAAATAAGAAGCACCCAGACTTTGCCTGGGAATTGCTCCAAAATGCTTCAACAGCCTTAAAAAGAAACTACTTTTTTTTATCACAGCTTCTTTTGTAGCTCCACTCCATGTTGTATCAGTTATCCGAAGAATAAGGCACATTCTGATTTTTTCTTTGAACTTACGCTTACTTTGGATAAGAACAGTTTGAATCATCCACAATAAGAACTTGTGTCCGAAGCTGCAAGAACTTCAAGCCTGTATAGCCGACGTTCTCTTTAGCTGCGTTAAGTCCTGCGTCCTGCGGCAACAAAGGAGAATTCCTGATGAAATGCATCTGAATGTGGAGTTATTCGGTTCATTTCAATCGGGTGTTGTTCATAGACTCTTTTTGTCTGTGGTTGTGTGTGTGTGTGTGTCTGTGTGTGTGTGCCTCTGACCTGTGGGTCAAGAGTGCCTGAATGGGGGGAGGGTGGGTGGTATTGTTAAAAACCTGTTCGGGAAAAGGGGAACTGTTTAAATAAAAAAAGAGAAAATAATGGAACGGTTATGATAAGGGATTTGGGGTACCAAAATAATTTTGATACTCCAAAGCTCAAAATTGATGAAGAAAAAAAGAAATTCAGACAACTTGAAAACTAGTATTAATGCTGAACACCTTAAGATAGAGCGTGGCCATAGCTAAATTGAATTTGGATCTCTTAATTGCTGCCTATGTAGGACTCACCCACGTCTTTTCAGGTGATTTCATCAAACGTACGACGAGCCTGCAGCAGATTTTGTAGTTAAGCTGAGGGTAAATACAGTATTTCCCCTTGCGACGGGAAGAAAATACTAGTGTGTAAGCAGTGGCTCCTGATTTACTTTTATTGCGAGAGCGGTGGGATAAGTTGACGAACGTATTTCTTTAACGTGGATTTGGAGGAGTGGTGATACAGTGATTCAAAATGGTAATAAAAAAGAGAAAATGTTGTTTCAGTTGATCTGTCATACGTTAAAAGGTTTGTCTCTTTCCGTAAAACCCTCCTGGTAAGTCACATGTTGTATTATTGAGTTTCTAATCTTCTTGTACTAATTGGTACCTCGGGGCCGTTGCTTCTCCCAAAGAAACAGGTTTATCAGCCCCGGCTTCAAGTGAGTTGCATCATTTTGGGACTTTTAATACCTAAAAAGGAAACCCGGATTCCGGTTTTACGGATGGTCTGTTTATTTTTGCGGCGGCTCCACACTGTCCCATGATATCCGTTTATCGTGTCATTAGAAAAAACTCAGAATGATGGGTGGTACTGCAAAAATTATTCTTTCAATTGTTTTGTTTGTTCCTTTTGTCTTTCCTTACGAAATGCATTGAAGAGAGCACCAGACGTCCTCAACGTCCTCTACTGTTGTAACGTGAAATACATGCAGGGTTATAATAATTCAATAAATTGGACTTAATTATACACTCTGGTGGTTCTTTTTTTACTCCCCTGATTAACTGCATTGGTTACACAAATCATATGATGTGAAAATCCTAAATAACGTGTTTATTCAAATGTAGATACAGAAAACCTGCAGCCGGTGGCCTGGGCTTAAAGGTTATAATGCAGCTGTCATCTAAAGCTGTTGCGTACTGATGGAAACTTTGAGGCAGCAGCAGGACATAAAATGCCCGGAGGGTGGGAGGGGTTTATAACATGATCTTTGTGAAAGCTTTATTGTGGACAGTCCGAGGGGGCCAGAGGTTATCATTCAGCTTCAGTGGCCTCTGATAATGCAACCAGTTCAAACACCAGAAAACCGGATTAAGGCGTCATTTATCGATCTAACCTTCCGCCGGTGTCAACATGTACCACCGCACACATAATAATGTAATAGGCGGTGTGACTACATTCACCTTGGTACAACAGTGTAGCCAACTGGCCCTCATTGGTTGCTGTATGTGTGAAACACAGCAACTCTTTATCCTCGGGGCAATACAAGCACGTGCAAACAACAGCAGTGAGATCTTGTGAGCAGTTCCACACGAAGGATCACCTGTCATACCACTGCATGGACTACTTTACACTGTGCGTCCTCTTTACATTCAGTGAACTTACAAACAGAACAAACACATTTATTTCCTTCAAAATCATTAAAAGTTTAAATTAGGTTTGGAAGTGTGGTTTTTAAAGCACTTTAACGTTGTTTTAAAAGTGCCTTTAATAAATTATTAATTCTGTATTTTAGGTTAATTTTATACTTTTTATTTATATATAACTGTATTTAAGAGGTAAAAAAAAAACTTAAAAATTGTTTTTATTTCACACTTACTTTGTCAATATAAATGCCAATAATTACTATTACATTAATTTGAATTTAACGGTATTTAACGGCTCCTGCGCGCTGTTGTCTGTCGGCTACAACAACAACGTGTTTTGACAAAGCGACGGTTGCAACGAGCCCTCCGGGCCACCGTTTGACCTTGAGACAGTTCCTGCATGACCCGCTCTGCTGTTTGCGGCTGACGTCGAGGCCCCTCCGCCAATCGGCGGCCTCAGAACACAACGCCCCGCCCCCCTACAGCTGACGACACCCCGCTTAGCAAATAGCGTTCGAGTACGAGCGTGACATCACCGGGGCAAAGCCACGCCTCCGATTCTTCACGCACGATAAATGAGTGACAGCTGCTTCTGCCAATCATGTTCGAGGGTCGTGGCTCGGCGTCCAATCACAGCGCGTCTTGACAAAAAAAATAAAAATAAGGCGGGTCCCTG